AAAATAAATTTAGAGTACTGAGCGTCGGAGAGGAAATACTTAAAAGAAGCTTGTTCCTTTTTTTACTAGAAGGTAGGCCTAGCCACAGGTGGGCTGGACATGCAAGGTAGTGACGTTGCATCACTCACATTCCCTACCACGAATCCACCCAATTCTTATTTGGGGCAAAACTGTCAGCCAACAACACACTCAACCTCTTGTCCTATTGTCAACCACTCTATAGAAAGGGATAACACCATCACGGGCCAATCCCCAAGAACAGTGGCCTCATTAACAACCCCACTTGTTATTAGGTGAAAGGAAGTTTCTGAATGGGGAAGGAGTCTGTCAATCCCTCAAGAAAAACGCCCTTAACCCTCTTAGCTTTCTGCTCTTTCTCTGGCCCCCTCCTTCCCACTCCCCAATTTCCCAAAGTCCTGGGTTAGGGAAGGCCTTCCAGTGTGTGGTGTGTGAAGCCTATCAGAGGGCCAGGCTGCAAACTAAGCGCAGGGATGTGAAGAATGTGAGATTCCTTCATGGAGGGCTAGGAGGGGGAGAGGAGCGGGGAAGGAATGAGAGGACAAGGCTGCCAAAGACAAGGCATGGGAGAGGAGCCAAGCTATGGCGCTTCGAGGGCGGGGGTTTAGGTTCCACCGCCCCTGCCCAGGCTAGCCCCCGGAATGCTCCCTTCCTCCCCTTCTGGTCCGTCAATCATTGCCCATTTAAACACCACGTTGTTCCCCTAGGTCCGCAGCTGCCGGTCGTCCAGCTAGCCCCGGCCCCCTCCCGCACTTCTCAAAGCTCCCCTATTCCAATGGACTTCCCCAACAACCCAATCTCCAGAGCCCCTTTCTCACCTCCCGACTCCTCGCCAGTGCTGCTTCCTTCCCCCATTTTCATCTTTACCAATATCCCTCCTCCTGAACCCCAGTATTTCAACCCCCTGCCCCAATACCCCTGGGACATCACCTCCTCCGCTCCCACACCCTCTTTTAGGTGGAAGATCACGCAGGCGCAGTACGCACCGCCCTGGAAGCGGCCTGGACTCTCCGTACCCTGGCCCAGTTGGAGCTCAGGCAGCAGCGGCCACAGGTCTGCCCTGATGCCGGGTCCCAGCCTTTCCAGGGAAGGGAAGGGAAAGGGGAAGGAGGGGAAAGAAGGCTCCGACCACTCGTCGCTGTCTCTGGCTGATCCTTTGCCCGCCCACCGCTGCTACGCAACCCGGCGGAAGCTCGTCACCAAACCCCGCCTCTTTCTTTAACTCAGCTCCTACGCTAGCAGCCACGAACGACCTACTAGGAGAGACAGCGGCTAGCCAGGCCTCCGCTCTAGACGGGAAGTCTTTGTGGTCTCAGTCAGGACTATATAGCCACTTGGGAGGAAGAACTCTATGATCTTCCAGACAAGAACGGGTGGGCCTGGCCAGCCACGCTTCGTTTTGGAAGGGTGCACGTGACTTGTGTCCTAGAGCTGACGCGGATTGGTGCGAGATCATTGCGGAGAGGCAGGTCTGCAGCGTGACCGGCTGTGGTTCCAGCCCCTCTCTCTCCCTTTGCCAGAGCCCTGGTCTGCATCCCAGAGCCTCGTGACCCCTTGACCCCTGTCATGGGAATGGATATTGCAGTTAACAAGGCGGTCGCGGGGTGGGGAGTGAGGGAGACTGACCCCAAGGCTTAGATCAGGGGTGCTCAATGGGTTGTCTGCCTCTCTCCCAGGCGCACTCTTCCCGTATCCACGATGGCTCCTCGAACACTTGAGGAGTTCCCTGAAACACCTAAGAAGGAAGGGAGAGAAAATTTCCCTCTTCCTCAGTTGGAGTTTGATTTCTTTAGCTTACAACACCATGGTGTTGGGGGCGTGGGTGGTAGAGAACCTGGGATCCAAGGGAAGTCAATGTGGAGCCTAAAGAACTCCATGAAAAGATATGGGGTTAATTAAGCAAACCAAGGCATTACAATTACATGACCTCTTAGGCTAATCTGGTATTAAATAGTATGGCATTTATTGTGGACGTTGGCTAAGCAATGTTAGTGCACATTAATACACACCCACCCACATGCCCCCACATATCTCTATGTAATTTGTTTATACACAACAATACAGAGCTAGCTATCTTTTGTGGACAATTTGACAGGTTCCAAAAGGAACTAAAGTTTCAGGCCTTTTTTCTGCCGTCCTCTAGAGGGGACTCAGATCAAGTAAGATAACGGTAGTATGGCCGGGTTCAGTGGCTCACGCTTGTAATCCCAACACTTTGGGAGGCCGAGATGGGCGGATTGCTTGAAGTCAGAGTTCGAGACCAGCCTGGGCAACATGGCAAAACTCCGTCTCTACAAAAAAATATAAAAATTAGCCGAAAGTGGTGGGACACACTGTAGTCCCAGCTACTAGGGAGGCTGTGGTGGGAGGATCGCTTGAGCCAGGGAGGCAGAGGTTGCAGTGAGTCAAGATTGTACCACTGCACTCCAGCCTGGGCTACACAGCGAGGCTGTTTCCAAAAACAAGAGGGACTAACAAGTATTTCTCTCTATGCTGCAGGTTCCATTTCTTCCAAAAAAGGTGAGCCTGCCTTTTGTCTCTGGTGTGCCACTTTTCCCAGAGACCTTGACCAAGCTAGGTAGTGCATTAAAGATGAAAACCCCAAATCAGGAATAAATATAAGAGCTAGAGCAATAAAATGAAGGAAACCGTGTGTGCCTACTGTGTGCAAGGCACTGCTTTTTAACAACGTCCGTTTTCTCGTCTATAAGATGGAATTACATATTTTTTGTCTCTTTTTGCCTTTTTGTGGAGAATGGGGTCTCGCTTTATTGCCCAGACAGGTCTGGACTCCTGGGCTCATGCTATCCTCCAGCCTCTACACCTCCCTAAGAGCTGGGATTACAAGCCTGAGCCACTGCGCCTGACGGAATTACATATGTTTAAATCGTCGAGAAAAGAAGTGAAGCATTGAGCCAGGATTCAAACTTTTGTCCGCCAGATTCCGAAGCCCTTGCTCCTTTTCCTATGGTATCTCTCTTTGGAAAGAAACATATTAGAGTATAAGCGCATTCTCTCCAGCCATGTTACAGAAAATTGGGGCTCTGTGCGCCCACTAGTGGTGAATCTTTCCCCCTGCAGAGCCAACTATCTCCGAGGCTCCTTTAATACCTGAAATTCGCCCCCTTCGCGGTGCACGAGTCTCGGATCCCGATTGGCTGGGCAGGGCAGGCTGCACGACGCAGAGCGCGCCCGGGCGGTGCTGATTGGCCGGAGGAGGCCAGCCTGTGGAAACTTCCGGGAATGTCTGCACTCCGGCGTTCCACCGAGCAGCTTCCGGCGACAGCAGAGCCTGTGGCTCCCCCTGCGGGCTGCTCAGTGGCGTGCACAGTCCTGCCGGCTGGCTGGGTGGGTGGTGGGCTGCGGGTGGGGGAGGAGATGGACCGAGTCCCGGGTTGTCGGGATGAGGGTTCGGGAAGGTCTGGCCAGTAAGATTCTACTCCCTGGCTCTGCACCGGGTTCCCTACCCCTGTCTACGTCGGCTCCGCCACTTCAGGGCTTGAGACTAAAAGAGCATCCCGGCAGGGGGCCTTCCAGCCCCAAAGCAGCCTGTCCAGAGACCCCCAAATTCTGATCTTGAAGTTGGAGGCCTCCGGGGATGTCCTTTTTAAATCTTTTAGAAGGGTTAGAGGGGTTGAGGCTGCCTGACCCCAGCCTAATGTGGTAGGTAGGCCTTGGGAAGTGGAGCATGGGGGCAAAGGATCCAAGCGTTGAGCCTTCATCCCCTATTCCCCATCCAGTGGGGTGCCGAGGCTCGGGCAGCATGACGACGGAGACCTTTGTGAAGGATATCAAGCCCGGGCTCAAGAATCTGAATCTTATCTTCATTGTGCTGGAGACAGGTGTCTATACTGGGGTGGCAAGTTCGCGGGATGGGGGTAGGGGGCAGGAGGGGAAGAACGCTGTTTGCGTTCTTAATTTGGTGTGGGGATGGCAAGGCGAGCCACAAGACACTCCTCATTTCCAGTCTGTCTCTTCGACCCTTGGACAGAAAGCTGCAGTCTGGTATAGGGTAGACAGAAGTCTTGCCAGATCTAGACCTCCTGTGCCACATGTGTCTCTTTCCACTCAGGGCCCTCTCCATGGTGCTGGCCCCTGAACTACCCTCCCCCCCCGCCGCCCCCCTCCCCGACACCTTCCATAATCCCAGCCCCTTATGCCTCAGGGATTTGGGCTTTGCCCTGTTTGTACACCTTTTCCCTCATCCCACCAACATCCACATCTCATTCTTCTGACAACTACCTCCCCATTTATTTGATCGTCCTCCCACCTCGATTTATCTGTTCCGTTCAGGCCGAGTGACCAAGACAAAGGACGGGCATGAGGTTCGGACCTGCAAAGTGGCGGACAAAACAGGCAGCATCAATATCTCCGTCTGGGACGACGTCGGCAATCTGATTCAGCCTGGGGACATTATCCGGCTCACCAAAGGGTAAGCCAGGTGGTAACTTTTAGCCTTCCAAAGGCAACAATCAAGAGTGGGGTTAGTGGCCGGGCGCGGTGGCTCAAGCCTGTAATCCCAGCACTTTGGGAGGCCGAGGCGGGTGGATCACGAGGTCAAGAGATCGAGAGCATCCTGGTCAACATGGTGAAACCCCGTCTCTACTAAAAATACAAAAAAAAATTGGCTGGGCATGGTGGCGCGTGCCTGTAATCCCAGCTACCCAGGAGGCTGAGGC